CTCCTCCCTCCTCCCTCTCCCCTCCCCTCCCCCAGGTAGCTGTTACTTACCCTGTGAACGTATCCCATCTCAGAGAGGTACTTCATGCCGGACGTGACGCCGCGCAGCATGCCTACGAGCTGTATCAGCTGCCTTAGGTGACCTGTGACCCTATCTTACTTATAACCTTACCTGACCTGTGACCTCGTGTGACCTGTGACGTTGTGTTACAGCTAACCCTGTGATGATCATCACTGAGTATATGGAGCATGGGTCGCTGGACACGTTCCTGCGCGCTAACGACGGACAGTTTTAAAAGAAAGGTTGACAACATACTCAGCACACCGCATAGCTTATCGGTATAAGCAGAACGTGAGACGCTAGCGTTCTAAACGAATATCTCTTTCATATCGTACTTGGCATAATAATTATAAATTATTAACTAGCATTAAGAATGAATGGGTTTATAATTTATTACTTTATTAATATATTAATACATTATATAATGAATATTATATATATATATTAATATATTAATTAATTAGTTAAAAGATAAATTAACCATTTAATTGAGTAATTTTATTAATAATCAATTGATATTAATTATATAAACTAATTAACGCACTCTTTGTGACGACGCCCTTTAGCTGTATGACGTTGGCATCGTCGAACTGTCCCATGATGGTCGCTTCAGCGAGGAAATCTCGCTTCGCCTTGTCCGACGCTCCCGGCTTGATCGTCTTAATGGCTACCGGTATCTCCTCCTTCAACGTCTTCAAGTGACCCTTACATACGTCACCAAACTCTCCTGTAAGGAGGGGAAATATAGGAGGTGACCCTTACATACGTCACCAAACGCTCCTGTAAGGAGGGGAAATATAGGAGGTGACCCTTACATACGTCACCAAACTCTCCTGTAAGGAGGGGAAATATAGCTGGTGACCCTTACATACGTCACCAAACTCTCCTGTAAGGAGGGAAAATATAGGAGGTGACCCCAGGTGACCTTTACATACGTCACCAAACTCTCCTGTAAGCATAGACAAACAGACTAGTAGATTAGAGATACTTCGTAGACAAGCATTGTCTTTTAGAACGTCCCATCTCTACAATGATTAGCTAGAGCTCCCGCCCGGCAACCACGTCAGACGGGCGGGTTAAGTTTACAGACGGACCGACGACTGGCGTCTGTGACGTCACCGCTGACGCAGTCGTTGCCATGGCTACGCACCTCCTCCTATGATGGCTTCGATCATGATGAGAGAAGTGTCGATCTCCACGGCGAATTCTCCTATGAGGAGGCTGGGATCTTCGTACGTGTGGGGATCGATGTAGGAGCGAGGTCGGCCGGAGAACAACGGTGTCATCACTGCAACACCACCACAGACACACGCACGCGCGCGCATGAGCACAGGCAGATATGTAGATAGTATACGTACGTATGTACTAGTACACTCATTAATAATGTAGTAATTGCCCTTTTAACAATTAAATTTGTGTGATTAACGCAAGAATCGCGATCTTGAAACGAAGAAAACACATTTTGGAATCTGAATCTGAAATCCTATTCTATCGTTACTACTCTAGGATGCACGGCTAGCAGTTACGTCATTATCAGTTGCGTGTGCGCATGCGTAAGCTACCTTCCGTAAACTTTGATGTCGGGGTTCGACTCACTGCTGGGAATTGCTGCTAGTTGGGGGAAGGGGTCGCGGTAACGAGGGACGCGCGCGGCGGGGGGAGGGGGTGGCTGGTGGGTGGGGGAGACAGAGCTGACGCGAGTATGCAAGCCGTACTTACTTCCATTTCGCATAACAGTCTCGGTCGTGTTATACGCTACAGCAACAAAACAAAACGCGCAGGTTAGCTTCATGATAGCAAGACGCACACGCACGCACGCACGCACGCACGCACGCACGCACGCACGCACGCAC